ACCAGTCTATGTTTAGGAAAAATGTCCATGACATGTTGCCTTTCCTGGACTAGATCGTGTGACTGCGGCCCCGGTCTCAGTCCACTTCCAGCAACAGACCTGCGTGTCTCCAGGCATGTGTTGAAGTCTCCTCCAAGTATCAGCATTGCCCGAAAAGGCAGACCCGACAAGGTCTTGTCCAATGCCTTCCATAGCGACTTGCGCTGGGACATCACCTTGGCCTTCTCAGTTGAGGTGCGGCTTGATAAAGCATGCTGATACAGCCCCAGTATTTCGCAGCTTTGATTCCGCAGCTCAGCCCGCACTCTCAGGAGTCGGCCAGGCACAACATCCTGCCAGCAAATCTCCCGATTAGTCAACAGCGATGCCCGAATTGCCACCAGTACGCCATCCTGGTGTCTCCGCTGTGAGGCTGTGTGAACAAACTGCCAGCTTCCTGCAGTCCACTCGCCAGTAGTAGACCAGTGTGTTTCCTGAATAATGGCTATGTCGATCTCACTCGTTGTCTCCAGGTATCTCAGGATTTCAGCATATAGCTCAGAGGAAATGCCTCCAGCGTTCCAGCAAAAGACTCCTCTCCGCTCTTCAGCTGTTGAGTGATTACAATATTATCCAGGAACACGCACACTCTGGCCCGTTGAGTATATGACACGCCCTTTGTAAACAGCGCTGCCTTCCTTTGCAGCCTTGTTCCTTGCACGCCGGTAGGCGCGTTTACCTACCTTCGAGCGGTTACTCGCCCGACTTGGTTCCTCCTTGTTCGCCTCCATTGTTTGTTGGGGTTGCTGCTGTGACACCATGGATCCGAACGCTGCTGGCCAAATTGCCCTGAAACTATCTGCTCTGTAGGCGGCGCTATCAAGGATCCCGGAGCTGAAATGGGTGTCGTGCTTAAGACCGGGAACTGCTGCTTCTCCAGATACAAGTTTGGAAGGTAACGTTGCGAACAGTATGGGATAGTGCAGCTTGCAGAAGCCCAGCATTCCAGCGTAATCATCCGCATCCAGGATAAATTGCAAATCCAGCAGAGTATTGTCAAGTGTATTGTGTCGCCAGTAGGCACAAGCAAGCTGGTCCGCGTATAGCCTGCTATCCTCAGCGATAGCCTTCGCACAACAATATATCAGCCAGTCGTTCCCTTATCACACACACCACGTGCTCCGTCGGTGTGAAATTCATGGCAGCGCACCGAAAAACCCCGGTTTTGAACCGCTCGTGGCGCTTCTTCACGGGCCTTGCCGTCTGTCTTATCGCTTCGATCGGACGGCAGGCGGAAATGGTCGTAGAGGCAGCTACTAAGGGTTTGGTGCTGGTGATCGAGGCCATCGCAATGGCGGGAAGTGAGACCGTCGAGATGATTAGCTTCGTGACTAAGCTCCTGTTGGTGGCTTATGGAGTGGTCTGGAGCCTTCAGTTGCTCGCCACCCATTGGCACCTTCTAGTTAAGCTGATGCTGCTCCTCGGGGGCAGGAACCCGGAGGCCAACGTGGCAAGGGAGCTGTCGTTGCCCTTCCCGGCTGAAGTTCTTGCCCGAGCCCGTGAGCTCAAGAAGTTTGGAGTTCCGGTGGTTGTTCCGACGGATGATGCAGGTTGGCTGCGCTTCCAAGTGCAAGGAGCTAAAGAGAAGAGCTACGTTGTCCGTGTCCCGAAAGACGAAGGGAAGGTCAACCAGAGCTCTTGCGCCTGTATGAGCTACATACAGAAAGGTAAGCCCTGTAAGCATCGTGTGGCGCTCCAAGCTGCCTCGCTTGGAGTGCCCGTGAAGCTGGCGGCTGGAAGGCCCCTCTCAGCAGAATATGAGACGGCCGGACGTGGCAGGATGCTCTCTGGGATCCTAGGGATATGCCACACCAAAGGCGTACTCCTTTGGAGGGGAGTTGGCAGTAACCAGACCCTCGAATTGTTGACTGGTTCGGCCAATTTCACGACGTCCTCAAGAGCCAATCAAGAGTGGTCGTTTCGACTGCTATTGGCTCCGAACAGCCCACAGCAAGAGGCTGTAGGCCAATGGGCTGAAGCGCTCGAACAGGGTTGCATTACTCTGGATGCAGCCCGGCTGCAGAGCGCAGCGTCCGTTCGCGCCCGGAGCGCCTCTCCAGGCAACTGACAGGAGAGTGCGGCTCCGTGGTGCGCAGGACTTGAGCTACGTGTTTACAGGCCACACCCTCGGCGCCTCCCATTTTGGGAGCGCGGCTGCGCGGTCAATGCTTGCACTTAGCTTCGGGTGTGGGGGCGACTGTGANNTGTGAGCTCCTAAGTAGCTGTAGCTTTAGACACCCGTAGGTTGTAGGTAGCTTGCTTGACGCGTAGCTGTGTAGGCTGTAGAGTAGCTTGTCCTGCATAGTGTTCTTACGTAGTTTGTAGTTGTAGCTGTGTGTGTTTCACTACTTTTGGCTCAAGACCGCACTAGCGCAAGCAGCGGCAAAAGTGTGCCGCAGGGTTTGCTGCTGTGTTTTAGGGTTTGAGTAGAGTAGTGAGCTCCCAGCTTTGCAGTTGGGGGCTGTTCTGGGAAATTCTCGCCTTTATAGGGGGATCCAGATTTGTGCCTTAGGGCTCGCTTGTGAGATAGCGAGGCCCTAGGCACGGCCGATTGCTTCCATCGGGGCTCTTTGGGTCTTCGGGCCCGATGGCCATGGACCAGTATGAAATCAGCAACCGGCATGGGCTGACTCTGGCCCAGGCTTTGGAAGCTGAGGAAATACCCAAGCCGGAACTGATGAGGTTTCAGGGATGGCTAGCATGGCGAGGCACCGAGGGCTTGAGGACCTCGGGAGCTTTTGAAGCTGACCTTAGGAGGAACACCCTGGACCATGGAGATGGTCTACGGCAGCAACTGGAAGGTGGAGCTGGAGGCTAGAGAGATGGCCGAGCTAGAGCCATCGTCTGAGGGTGACGCAGGCGAAGACCTGCCCGGAGTCGCACCCAAGGCGGCTGCGAGGCGTGGCGTTTCGTCACCCCCGGCGTCCTGTTTAGAGCTGAAGTACTGGGTGAGCTAGGTGGAGCAGCGGATCCACTTCGTCACCTAAAGGTGCGGTTTGCTGAGGAGCTTGCCGATGGCTCGGATACCACAGAAGGCCAGAGGAAGCTTTCTGTGTTGGTGAAAATGATCCAGGAGCATGGTGGGAAGCTCAGCTCTCACGCTGACAAGCTTTTCTCTAGCGAGGAAGGCACGCCAGACCGTGTTAGGGTGCCCCAAATCGGAGAAAGGGAGCAGGTCGGACTGGGGATGACGGCTCGTGAGAACCTGATCCAGTACCTCCGTAAAATCGGGGACCACTTGTCCCGCGAGGTGCGGAAGGACAAGCGCTACCGCGAGAGTAGCGAGGGTGCCCGTGAGTTCTGGGGTGTGGCTACGTGGGAGGAAGCACACGAAGTAGTCCAGGAAATAGAGGCGATGAACGCCGGGCAGAGAGCCTTGCAAAACTCATCCCTTTCCATGGGAGGTCCTCAGGAAGCGAATTCGCCCGAGGACTCTGGTGGAAATCGGAGACGGAAGAAAAGAAACCAGCAAGGACAAAAAAACCCGGAAAAGTCGACCTTAGCCTTAGCCTTGGGCGCGAACGCCAAGAAGAAGAAGGTGTGTTTCAACATGCGAGATCATGGTAGCTGCCGGAATGGGGATAGGTGCGAGCACAGTCACGACAAAGCGTTGGTGGAGGCGGAGCGAAAGAAGAGGAAGGAAGCCGAGAAGGCTGCCAAGCAGAGTGGTGACTCTGCGGCAGCCGCTTCTTCCGGTAAAGGAAAAGGAAAAGGAAAAGACAAAGGAGGTGGGAACTCCAAGGGCGGGAAAGGCGGAGGCAAAGGAAGCCAGGGAAAGAAGCAGGCACGCCGTTTCTGGCTCACTGGCCGTGGTTGCGACAAAGGGGCGCGTGCCCTAACAAGCACGACCAGGGAGCGAGGAAGAGATTCCTTGCTGAGGTGGCCAAGGCTGCGAAAGGCTCAGGAGTACCTGGAGTGCAGCTGGCTTCCGTGGAAGGGCCCACGGGATTCAGTGCGTCATCCGATACGGCGTGCGCTACCCCGTTCGTTTGCTTTGAGTCGGCGCGCTTGGACAGCGAGCCACAGAGGAGCGTTATCGCCCCTGCGGTCGCTGACTCTGTGGCCCGGGCGCAGGTTTCGCCGGCGCCCAAGAAAACGCAAAAACATAATAAAAAGAAGGGCAAGCCTAAAAGAAGTGTATCGAGGATCTCCCGAAGAGCTGCGCCTAACTCACGTGGAGGATACCAGTACAAGACAGAGGTGGACATCATGGGGAGGACTGTCCCGTGTATGTTGGACACCTGTGCAGGTTGCAACTCGGTGACGGAAGAGATGGTCATAGGTATGATCAAGGTGGCGCTGCGTGCCGGACTCCCCAAAGCACGGACTTTCCCGTGGCGGCTTTGGAGAAGTGGCCAGTCCCCGAGGTGGTGAACGGTTTGGCCAAAGACTCGCCTATCCCGCAAAAGGGTGGGGTGGTCTTGAGAGTTCGGCTGAAGGACAAGCGACGTGGAGAAAGGATTAAGGAGATTCTGGGTAGAGCGAAGATCCTTGGTAAGGGGAGCTCCACGTGGCATGGCTTGATCTTGGGTGGAAGATCCTGGTGCCTGAAGAGCGGCTGGGAGATCAAGTCCTTCACATCATGGAAGATGTGAGCAGCATGGCCCGAATGGCTGAGACTCTCCCGACTTGACCATTTTGAGACCTTTGAGGCGTTCCTCGATACCTCAATCATGGCTGGCGTGAGCTTTGGAGTGGAGAAAGCAAAGATCGCCGTTATGGAGGGGGAATTGGACAGGTGGTCGGTAGGAAAGGAGCTTCAGCGCAAAAAGAAAAGACACTGCCTATCGTGAGGTTTCCACCCTTTTTTCCAGGTGCAGCAATTCCTGGGCTGCACTAACTTCTTGAGGTACTACTTGCAACCGCAGTACGGCCACTGCGGGAAGATTCTGGGAGAGTACGTAAAAGGGACCTGAGCAGGGTCTTGGACCAGGGGACTCTCCAGGAGATCTTGCTGTGAGGGCCATCAAACTGATGGCGCGCCGGGCAATTGAGCTTTCGGTCCTGGACGAAGTGGCAGCGGTGACAGGGGAAAGGCCCTTGGAGCAAGTTGTAGACAGTTCCGGCTGTGCAACTCCGGGAGGATCTGCGAGGGTTTGAAGTGTTGGCTACTCACTCGAACGGGCTAACGCCGCCGCAACAGGCGTGGGCTCCGCTGAGCTTGGAAACTTATGCTCAACTGGAAGTACGGAGAGCGGTAAAAGGAATGATCGGCCCGTTGCGCTGTATCATGTGGACGGATCATAGTAACTTAACTCGTCTGCAAACGAGCGAGGAGATCCAGCCCAAGCATCTTCGATGGTTCTCGGAGTTGCTTGCCGATGGTTCAGTCTTGCGGAGCTTGAGTGGTCGGTCCGCCAAGCTCGCAGACGGAGCAATCCTCCAGAGAGGGATGAGCTGCTAGCCCAGAGGACCAAGGACCTTCAAGGGCTGATAGGCCAGCTGAGAGGTTTTTCCTTGGAAGAGTTTCTGGGAGAAGAAGAGCCAGGGAAGGTTATCCCGTGGTCTCTGCTCAGTGATGTGGAGTCGGCCATAGAGCCCAAAGACCTCGTGACGGGGAAGACTGTGCGCCCAAGATCCAGGATTCGGGCGCAGGGGGCGGGGATACGGTCTCTGCCTACCCTGTCTGTTCTTTTTCGCGCGTTTGGCAGATTCAGGCGCTATTCCGGTCCTGAAGGTGCTTTACGCGCCGGATTACTGCACGAGAGAATGCTCAAGACGACGGAGTTGAGCAAGTTCTGTCCCGCAGCCTACCGGCTTCCAGGTTGCGAGCCTCCTTTTGAGGACCTGGAAGGGACCGGGTTGCACTTTGAGAAGCAAGGTAAGGCGAGGCTGGACGGGTAGGAAGCTCGCCAACGCTGTGCGCGTTGACCTGTTTACCTCTGTGCCCAAGCTCTTGAGGGAGTTAGTGACGCACCGGCCTGCGGCGGTGGTTGGAAGAGGACAGGGGGCGGTCGTCGTCCTGGCTGCTTCTAAGCCGGTCGTGGTGGATGCTGTTGGCACGAGTGTTTCAGCGCGATGAGTGCCGAGATGTGGCAGCGGCGTGGGGTGCTGCGAAACTTGCTGTTGCTGAAGTCCCCCGCCTCGGAAGAGCGAAGCCAGGATGGACAGTACTTTGGGAAGCGTGCCCCGAACTGCGCGCAGAGCATCCGTTGGAGCCCTGGCCAGTCGAAGCGGTTCCGAAAAATACTCCGTGCGTTGTTGAGTTGAAATCAGCATGTGAAGCCTTGAAGGCGACTGTTTCGGAATCGATGGGTACCTCTGCGTGGGGTCCCTGGTTGGAACGTGAAACCAAAGAAGCTTGGGAGCACAACGGGGTTTGTGCGTGCGGACGCCGAACCGCTTTGTTCGGGCAGTGCATGAAGTGCATTGCGGAGGACTTGAGTGAAGCTAGGGCTCAAGTACTTCCTGAGGCTGGGTCCGACCCAGGCGTGGTTGTCATGGCTGGAGCTGAACCTGGAGTGCTTTCACCCGGCATGTCCTGCTAGAGTGGATCCAGCCCCCTGCTGGAAGAGACGGGTGGTATCTCTTGACGTCCGGTGGAAGCGGGGAAGCCAGCTTTTGGTTCAGAGGCCGTCAGGGTGGAGGAACGAAATTGGCGTAACGGTGTTTGCGTTGGAAGGGAAGCTTGCTTTGGAGTTGCGCCATGTGGCTCGGCCGTGTTGGCCGTTAGACCTTACGAGCTTGCGGCGACGGAAGCCGGGTGATCCCTTCTGGACGATGCATTGGCGAGAACTTGCGCAGTATGCTGTGGATCGAGGAGGTCTCCAAGAAGTGTCGAATGACTGCAAACCGCTGCTTGAAGGGTTTTTCGCTTTCACAAGTCACTACGCGAGGGTTTTGATGATCTCGTGGGAGACAGTGCCCGACCGGTTCCGAAAAGGGCCGGAGAGTAAGGTGATGTGGTTTGAAGAGCGATCCGAAGGCGGCTGGGACTGGAAGTTCGAGACGTTAGGTCCGGGTCACCAGCCAAGGTATGAACACCGGATCTATGCGATCCTAGGGGCGGAGTCGCGCGACCGGGAAAGGCTGTTGCTTATCCCAGAGTCACCGCCGATTCCGTATCACTTCTTGGAGGTTAGCCTGGCTGACGAAGGCTCGGTGCCGGAAAGGTGGCTAGACGAAGCCAGTAGGGCACGAGCACGGGCTCGTTCGGAGCTTGGGGAAGGAAGTGCATGAGTTCAAGGTTGGGGTTGACTTGAGGCTGACGTGGGCCGCCAAGCAGCGAAAGGATCGGTCTTGGCTCCACTGCTGGTAGCTTGCCGAGAGAAGGACCGTGACGTAATCGAGCACCATCAAATCAGTTCGGATGGGGTGTTGGAACCGTGAAGCTGGACGAATGGGAGGTGGCTTGATGGGTTGCGGTGGTCCCGAATGCATGTGGAGATACGACTTGGAAGGAATTCTGGTTCTGACAGGCGCATGTGGGCCTGATGGGTGGGCACAGGAGTTGCCGAGATACCCAGCGGTTGCTAAAGCGTATCTCTTGGTGGCCGGATATGATGAAAGACATTGAAGTGATGACGAATAGTTGTTTGACCTGCGCGAAGGGTAGGAAGCGACCGACGAAGCAAGAGACGGTGAATGTGAAGCCGACCCATCTGGAATGTTGGGAGGAATTTCGAAGGCCCTATGCTTCCTGCAGACTGGTTTGGGAACCGGTATGTGCTCACGTATGTGGACATGGTCTCCCGCAGCGTGATGTTTGAACCTTGCCGGGATCTCACGAGACAGGAAGTAAGGAGGTCGTTTTCAAAGTTGATGTTCCGATCCCGGACCATGCCGAGGCTGTTGAGGTCCGACAGAGGTCAGGAGTTCAAGAGCGTCGTGTTTCAGGAGTACTGCTCCGTGGTCGGGGCCCAGCAGAAGTTTGCTGCACCCCTTCGCCCAGTCGAAATGGGAGCGTGCGAAAGGTTGCACCAGGAGTCTCAGAAACTGTTAGGAGTGCTGCTTCATGACGTGTGTGGAGCTTATCCGCATGAGTGGAGCGAGCTCCTTCCGGTCGTGGAGTTCCTGCCGAGAGACCTTGAGAGGGCATGGTCTATGGCCATTCCTTTGGAAAGGGAACTCGAACCTTTCACAGTGCTGGAGTGGGAACCTCTTTCTGAGTATGCATCTCGATTGTTCCGAAGGTACCGTGAGCTTAGAGTGAAAGTGCTTGACCACAGGGCTCAGGAGTCACTGAAAAGGGCGCCCCTGGTCAACCGCTTCCGAGTGTCCAAACAGCTCTGCGCGGGCGACGTGGTGGTTCTTCGTGACCCCCGCGCCGCCAGAGCTGGGGGGCGGACTCCTTGGAGGAAGCAGTTGTCGGGCCCCTATGTGGTGTCGGGCCCCTATGTGGTGTTTAAAATTTCGGCCAGTGGCAATAAGCTGGAGCTCAAAGAGGAATCCACAGGGCGAGTGTTGGAAGCGCACGCTGAAAACGTGGTGTTGTTACCTCAAGGGTACAAGAGCTGGGAAGGATCCGATCCGGCTAAAGGGACAGGCGACTCGAGGCCAATGAGGTTCAGGGAGCAGGAAGAGCGAAACCTGCCTCGTTCCTTGGGGCAAATGCTGGAGGATAAGGATCGCCCAGACAAGCGAGAGCAATTGAGAGTCCCTAAGAAGGCAGGCAAACCTGGCGATGGAATGTTGGCGGATCTTAAGGTCTTCCAGCACATTGCGTACAAGGTTGCCCCCGATGCAAAGGGAAAGGGTTCAAAGCAGTGTTGTGTAGGGCGAGTTCTGACCATACAAGTGGCTGAGCGAGAAGTGACCGTTCATAAATACGCAGCAGTCTTTGACAGTGACCTGCGTATCAAATGGAAGCCTTTGTTCGTGAACGATGAAGGGCAGGAAGTTGTTGATCCTGGGGCTGTTTCCACTGTCGGTTCAGCGCGTCATCATGAAGGTGGAGCTGCTGAAGCATGGAATGTTGAATCACGCAGCTGCCCGTCGTTTGGACAATGCGGGGTACAAGTTTGCTCGCCACGAAGCGATGGACCTGAGTTTAACGAACGGCTCAGAAACGGCAGGGGAGTGGTGGAAGGAGCTGGTCAAGGAGGACGGAGGCTTATCGTGCTCAGGTTGCTGGAAGGGTGTGACTTGAAGCACCTTAAACCCGAAGAGGCAGACGCCGTGAAGGAGGTCCTGGCGAGGAAAGCTGGAGCGATTTGGGTTCCGGGCACGCCGAGGACTACCATCCTTCACACGCAGCACGATGTTGTGCCTTCCGGCCCTCCGGTTAAGACGCCTCCCCATCGGCTTTCTCCGGAACAAGCACAGTGGATCGATGACAAGGTCAACGAAGAGGTTGCGCGAGGATGCCGGGAAGTCCAGCCTTTCCGACTAGGGAAGCTGGAGCTCACCAAAAGAGCAGGAAAAGGCGGATAGTCGTTGACTATCGACGCGGCAACGCCCGAACGGTCCGAGCACAATACTTCAGCCGCAAGAGTTGGGAAGTGATTGCAGGGGCTGCTGGGTCCTTGTGGCTGACTATGGTCGATGCAGTCACGGGATTCAATCAGCTGCAGAATTCGGATCGTGCGAGACGCGTCCTGGCTGTGGTTACTCGGTCGGGGCAGTTTCCAGAAGCTTTCGCCTACGTCATGGATCGCATTTACGCCAGGGGATCCGGACGCCGAGTGACGACCATACGATCCGAAGTGGCGGGATGATAGGAGGAGTTGCTTATAAAGATAGCGAAGTCGCAGATCGCATCAGGACCGCTGTCACCGAAAGAACCCCTCCGGAATCTCTGCAGGATGTAGCCGAGGCGCTCGAAGCAGCTGGTTTCAGCGCTCGAGGGCTCGGCGTGGAAACACGAAAGGAGAAAGAAAAGTCGAAACCTGCGAGCGAGCCAAAGAAAAAAGGCAAAAGCACGAAGGAGTTGAAGTTTACAACAGATGCAGACCGGAACCACCCTTTTGCGCATGGGCAGGGCTGGAGTCTGTTTACTTTGGTGTTCCTGGTGCTGCTGTTGGTTGCCGGCCGTACGGGTGCTCTGGTCGCGCCGCGCGTTCCGTTCTGGTGTGTGGTCGGGCGACTGGGCTAGATGGCTATGGGCCGCGCCGCGCTGCCTTGCAGCCGCGGGCGCGTGGAGCGTGCTGCCGCGCTGCGTTTCCGCAGCCGCTGGCGCCGCTTATCGTGGTTGGTTGCGTGGGGCTCGCCGGGTGTCGTGGGTTTGGACGTGCGCCGTTCCGTGGGTTGACGACGTTAGATGCGCGCGCGCGTCGGGGTACCAACCGCTTCGAGCAGCGCAAGGAAGGCACGGAAGTTTACTACAGAGCCACGAGTGGATGGTCTCTTGAGAACTTCGAGCCGACCTGTGCGCTGCGAAAGAGAAGAAGCTACCCCACTACCTCTACCACTCCACGCAGGAAAGTTTGAGGAACAAAATAGTCCGCGAGGGGCTATTGCCCGTGAAAGTTTTAGACCAACTCTTAAGGTCCACTCTTATACTATCTTACCCCACTCCGACCTAACCACAGGCGGCACTCTTTTCTCTAATAAGCGGGTGAAACATGCTACGCTATCTAGGCTCTAACTGGGCTCATGT